GGGAGAGGCCGCCATTACCAGTCCCAAGCCCGGATGGAGGAGGGGGAGCAGTAACAAGCTCACTGGGCTCAGCTGGCCATGCTGATAGTACCCTGTAAGGTCTCCAGGGATACAGGATGAGCAGTGTTTGTACTCCATGTTAGGAGCTGCTGTACATGTTCCTCATGTCAGAGGCGACCATTTCTTTTGGAGCTAAGTCAGTGGCCTTCTACTGAGTAGTGCTCCTAGTCTTAATGACATTCTACTTCACCCAGTCATGATGGTTGTCAAATCTCAAGCTTTACAAGCTTGATACCTTAATATGATTGAGTGGAGATAATAATAAAGAAGATCAAAGATCTTGATGAGCATGAACTCATGGAATTGGTGTAATCTATACACAAACAACAACAAAACCTCCATAAAAGAACCTCTCTCTACAAAGAGACAGTTTAGGGGTGTTTAGTGAACCTATGGACATGCGACGACCACACTTTGCTTCAGCGAGCGCGAACTGGGACAAAGTTTCACTACACATACTATGGGCAATAAAGTGGCGGCCCCACTATGCTTCAGAAAGCACAAGCTGGGAGAACACGTCACTACACATGCGTGGGCATCATCCGCTGGCGTCATAACAACAAGGCCTGCTCCCAACGGCCGTTACAACAACCGTTACTTCTTTTCTCTTTATATATTTCTGGCTTTAAATAAATTAATTTTAATTTTATCAGCAGCCTTCCACAAGCCACACCAACACATCACGCAACCATCCCACAGACATAAGCACAAGGGGAATAAGAAACCACATTCAACAACTACCTAGCTATCCTAACACTTAAGACTTGAGAAAACCAGCAACAAAAAGGCCATTTTAACATTTTTTTTATTATAACTTTTACATATAATCAAAAAAAAAATGTTATGACAAAAACTGGTGGGGGGGAAGGGAAAGGAAACAAATAGGGGATATAAATAATTCAATCAAACAAAAACAATCGACATGGTCCAAATCTATATATATAAAAATGGATGTTTGTTGGTCTGTTCGTCAGTGATAATCTTCTACATCGCTCAACCAATCGTGACGAAACTTTGGGAAGATGTTTAGTATACTACCAGGATGGTTTCTGGCTAATTACTCTTTAGAAATAACCTTTCGTTGCATTTTTATTTACAATAAAACGTAAATTCACTCACGAGCAGCGCCCTCTAGAACGCGGTGGATCTGATGGCGGGGCGCGCCCATTGGCCGCCTGCGAGCACGTGGCTTCCCTGTGCGCGCGCATGCGCCGGGAAGCCACTTGCTCGCCGGCAGCCGACGGGAGCAGTCACTTGCTCGCCGGGAGTCAACGGGCGCAGACATTTACTCGCTGGCAGCCAACGGGCACATGTTTAATGTGTTTGTGCGTATATAAATATTTTACAGAAAATGTGAGAACGTTCTATTAGAATATCTCGAAAACAAAAAACAATACATATAAACGAGTTCACTGACATTTATTAATGCAGTGATTATAATCAATGATTACAATGAAGGGCTATATTATCTATATATATAAAATCACTTTCAAATTTTAACGTAACGTTTCATTCTCAATCCCGTAGGGCTTTAGATCGGCTAAAACATTTTTATCTTTATAAGTGAATATTAACTTTACTGTACTGAATAGTTTAGTATAATGTTAATTCAACATATTACAATTTAGCCACTGCAACGCGTGGCCGGGTTCGCTAGTAATAAATAAAAATAGTTTTGATCAGAGGTTGCTTTAATTGAGCCAAGGAATGTATAAAATACATAATTTGGTTAAAGTGCTGCCTGGCTTAAGGCGAATAAAACAAGGAAAAAGAAAAGATTATTTACATAATGTACAAAAGCTTTGAGCCGGCCAACGGGGAAGAGAAAATATCTTTATTTACGGGCTACTAACCAAAAGTTATGATTTTTGAGCCCAAAATCGATGTCAGGTGGCAAGGGACCCTAGGATGTGGAAGCAGGAGATGTCTCGCAGGGGTGGTGGAAACGTTGGGCAAGCAGGGGAATAGCACCAGGGTGCAGTGAGGCGGGTGCGTTGAATAGGCCAGGAATCCAGGAGAAGTGGCAGATGGAAATGGAGGCAGAAGGTCCTTGAAGCCTAGAACTTGAGGGCCCTAGACTTCAGGATGGGGCAGCTTGAGGCTCTCGCCTCGTGCTTGTCAGGAAGGCCCTGGGAGCAGCAGTTGGCACATTTGGAGGTGCGCTGGTCAGCAATGGATGGGCAGGTTCGGCCTTCATGGCCGTCTTCACCGCAGTGGAAGCACTTAGGAGCTCTGGTGCATTGGGCAGAGTTGTGGCCGAAGCCACAACAGCGGAAGCAGACGCGGGCGCGGATGGACTCCTCGAAGTTGAGGATTACTCCATCCACCACGATCCTCCCGCGAACGCCCAGGGCTCTAAAGGTCGTGAGGTCCACCTCGATGAAGGCGGTGCAGGTCCCGTTTCTGGGTGCAGAACGGTGCGCCACGCGCACCACCTTGTCCCCAGGAAGTTTTCTAACAGCAGCGGTTTCCAGGAAGGTCTCCTCAATTGTGGAGTTGGATGTCTCCTCATCCACTTTGAAGAGGCAGATCCGTGGCAGGATCTCCTTCTGCTGGCGGACCTTCATTCCATTCAACTTGCTGGCCAGGGAGGTTGTGACCTCAGGGATGGTGTCAGGATTGCTGGAATGGAGGACCAGCTTCCCCTTGGTGCGCAGGGAGGCCCAAACGCCTTGGGGGAGAGTGTGAGCAGCGCGGACTGTTTTCAGCATCTCCCTTGGGTCAGCCTGTGGGTCATCTGAGATGACCACTGTGTGGGCCGCCGATTTTTCTCCATGAAGGATCACTTGGGCGGCCGCAGGCTTGGAGACGTGGGAAGGCACAGGTTTTGAAGGACCATTCAGGTTTGTCCTCTTTGCAGGCGGGTTAGGAGCTTCAGACTGCTTCCTTTTGGTTGGAGCAGGAGCAGGCAGGGAGGAGGCAGGCTTCTTGGCAGGGAGAGCAGCAGGAGCAGGAGTGGCGGGCTTGATTGGGTCAGTCTGGGAGCTGGTTTCATTGCAGGAAGGAGCAGGGCAGGTTTGAGTGCCGCGGCAAGCAGTCTTGGGCTTGTTGGCCTCCTCAATTTCGTCCAACTCTGCGAAGGACTCGAGGGTGTCAGTGAGGTTCTCTACATTGGTAGCGAGGGCCTTGATCATTTCAGTCCGCGTGGCGATGTAGCGGATCAGGTCCTCATGCAGGGATTTCAGGGCAGGATGGCCAATGGAGCTCAGGATGCTGCAGTTGCGTGAGATCACCATCTCATCTTCCCTCTCCAGGTCGGCGACGTTCACGATGCGGGTTGTAGGCTTGTAGGCCTTCTTTTTCTTCTTGGCAGGATTCATGTCGGCCATCGGGGAAATTGTTGTTGGCCAACGGGGAACAACAACAATGTGTATTTATAGGGAAAGCGTGACCTCTGGCGGTCGATTTAACAGAGTATTTGGATCTATGAAATTATAATTTAAAATAAAATAATATTTTAATAAAGCATATATATATAAAACACATGTTATATCCTATATAAATATTACATATAAATGCTAAACTATTATACATATATATATTTATTGTGCAATAAATTGATAAAAAGGGATCAGTCTTTTTTTTTTCTTTACAGATCCAGGTTCGCCTTTTTATATAAACTTAATTGATGGATCGCTTTTTGACTCAAACTATTTTATAAATTGAGTAAAATAAATCATTCTTCCAGGGAAAAGTGTATTTTCAAAAACATTTTTATTGTTCTCTAGCTTTCAGGCACGGATGCCCTTCTACAGGAGAAAACACGGTATTATAACACCATGTTTTCTCCTGTAGAAGGACATACGTGCCCGAAAGCTAGAGAACAATAAAAATGTTTGTATAAAGGCACTTTTCCCTTGAAGAATGATTTATTTTACTCAATATTTATGCAAGGGATTATTTTATAGATTTATTTTATATATGTTGTCAATAAATATATAATATTATAAAATAAATGAAGCTTCCAGGGTTAAGTTTCTTGTACACATTTTTTATTTTCAAGCTTTAGGACTTGTGAGTCCTTCGACAGGATTAGCACTTCAATAACTTAATAATAAATACTAATATATACTAATCATTTTCTCGTATTAGAAAGAGATAGAGAGTTAAAATGTTTCAATTTACATATACTCTTCATTATATTTCATCCTAATATATTTTTAATTGATATCCAGGCGTACTTTCAGTTACATTAATATATTCTTTATTAAGGTCAAATCATCAGGGTTTCAAGAATGTTTCCTTTTAATAATAAATACAAGATTGTCCAAAAAACTTCGTAGACACTTGCAAAAAATTTGAAATACCAATATAATTCGCCATAAAATTGTTCGCCGTTATGTATAATCGCTTTGTATTATGTATGTGGGATGGTTGCGTGCGTGTTGGTGTTGATTGTGGAAATGCCGCTTAAAAAATTATAATTATTTTTATAAAATAAAATTATTTATTTAGAGCCAAAATTGTAAAGAGAAAAGAACTAACGGCCGAAATAACGGTCGTTGAAAATAAGCCTTGTTGTTTTCGACGCGAGTGGCCAGAAAAGTCCCGGATGACGCCCGCACATGCGTAGTGAGGTGTTCTCCCAGCTTGCGCTTGCCGAGGCGTAGTGAGGCCGCCACACTATCGCCCATATGTGTTTTAAAGCTTTGTCCGCGCTCGCAGAGTGTGGTCGCCACATGTATAAAATATCATGTATTCGACGTAATAATATTATTCGCCAAGTAATAAGCAAAACAAAGATTTAAAAAAACACAAAATATTGGGGCAACCTTATAATTAAAAATAAATTTATCCCTTGAAGCCTGTCACCTTAATATTAATATTTTATTGATTATATAATCCCCAAGTTATTCCTAATCAATGTACACATAGCTGAAATATATTAAATAATCGAGGAAAGTTAGAATGTACAATCATAAACAAAACTCTTTTAGAAGTGGAAAGTCGTTGATGTTTCTTTATTTTTTTTTAAGGAGACAGAAACATTTTTTTCACATCTCGTATGTCTCCAATAAAAGTCACTGTGTATCAAATATCTTTCAGAGTTATTGTTTGTATCCTGATATACATGCTGAAATATACATCTTTCTTAATTTTGTTCATGAGTGTATATTTCGGAGTTATTGTCTGTATCCTGATATACCTGCTGATATATACAACTTTCTTAAAATTTGTCCATGAGTGTATCTTTCGGAGTTATTGTCTGAATCCTGATATACAGGCTGTGAAATATACAACTTCCATAATTTTGTTCATGAGTGTATCTATCGTAGTTATTGTCTGTATCCTGATATACATACTGAAATATACATCTTCCTTAATTTTGTTCATGAGTGTATCTTTCAGAGTTATTGTCTGTATCCTGATATACATACTGAAATATACATCTTCCTTAATTTTGTTCATGAGTGTATATTTCGGAATTATTGTCTGTATCCTGATATACCTGCTGATATATACAACTTTCTTAAAATTTGTCCATGAGTGTATCTTTCGGAGTTATTGTCTGTATTCTGATATACATGCTGAAATATACAACTTCCTCAAGTTTTGTCCATGAGTGTATATGTAAAATCGTTATTGGATCAATAGGCACATTTAGGTAAATATGAATTAATCAAAACTATATATATTTTTAACCTGTTTTCCAATTTATTAAAAAGACTGATATAAATTATAATAGCATTAAGTACCTCCATTAAAAGATTTCCATTGATGATTTGATGACATTTTTCGCCATTGGACTTTGTTGTTCCTTATCAAAACAAACCAGATTTCGAGAGATTAAATCGTTAATGTTAATGAATGATTGTTGATTAAGGCTTTTCAGATTCTCAAATAAATTTTCAGCAAGCAATATTCGAATTATTTGCTTTAATCTAAATGTTTGTAATAAAGGTACTGATAGAGCACATATAGTTTGAGTTAAAAGAGACGATCCATAATTTGTAAATTACCTTTAAGTTTATTGTACAATAAATTGATAGAGAGAAGGAATTTCCTCGAAATATTCTGAAAAAAAAAGTTTTTTTTTTTTTTTACAAATCCAGGAATGCCCTTTTTAAATTATAATAATAGATATAATTTTAAAGAGGAGAGAAATTAGTGAATTAGGCAATACTACAAGGTTGTCCTAAAAGTTTGTGTTTTTCGTAAAATGTTGGTTTTCTTATTACTTGGCGAATCATAATAATACATAATACAATTACTTTATACAAAATACAACGAAATTATACATAACAGCAAATAATATTGGTATTTCAAATTTTTTCAAGTGTTTACGAACTTTTGGGACGACCTTATATTATTATATTTAAAAGTACGGCTGTTAATAATGATCGTTGCTCAGTTAATTTGTTCGCATCTATAGTTTAAGATACAATAATTAATGATTATACAATTTGCTTATTACCACTCACTATACGCATATGACACTAGAATATTATAACTATTTGGTCTGCTATGCTCAAATTATCTTTCAGCATACAAAGTTTTGCTGTATGTTAAATGAATCATTTTTGAAATAAAAGATAGCTAGCTATACCTATAGGTTTTACTTAATAAATGTTATGAAAATTGCGCAATTCAATTTTCATTTTGTAGATAATAAAAGACATATTGTATTGTATTCGAAGATTTATTTGCCAATACAAAATGCAATGCCTCGACAGAGTTTGACATTCGCCAACCAAAATATTGTCAAATAAGTCTTTTTAGTCAATATCCAATATATGATTTTTTATTATCTAAATATTATATGTTGTTTAGAGTAAATCCATTCAATTTATCTAATGATTCTTGCTGCTCCTATATTGTGCGGATGTTTGAAAAACTATAGAGTTATTAATACCTTATTACTCTCGTTATTTCCTTATTGGCTACATGGGATGTAAATGTTATAAAGCCTTCCATCGAGTTTGTGATTTTAATTGAACTGTTTCCATTTTTGACAATCTTCAACAAAATATTTTCGGAAAAATAAAATTCCCCACAATATATATAAATAATAAGCAAAATAGCTACCTAAATTGTTTCTGTTTTATTTTATATTCATCTCAAGATTTCGGGTATCAAAAACACGTATATGCGATTAAAAAAACTCCTGTGTGTTAAATGATTCATAGTGATATATAATAAACACCTGAAGAAGGATTTGTGAAACTAAAAAGTTTGAAATGAATATAAAACAGGGAACTCACCCTCGGAAACCATTTGGGGTTTATTATTTATCTTCAAATAATGATATTTTTGAAAATAGAGCAATCCATAAATAAATCTTTAATTAAAAAGGCATATATTGAATCAAAATATTATTAATAACAACGTTGTTGACAAACATTAAATATGTAATAACACCTTAATAAAGGTTGGCGCTCAGCCAACTAAAATATCGGTAAAATAAATAATATTTTGATCCAAAATATGCCTTTTTAATTAAATAATAATATATATTCGTATAATAAATATTATAAATATTTATTTACACCATTGATATTTATTTGTGCTCGACACTAAAAGATATTTTAATTCTTAGTTGCAAAAGATAAAATAAGGTAGAGAACTAACTCCTTTACAGCAACAGGACTGAAAATTTTATTTTTCTGGGAATATATATTTATATTGCTATAATTTTCAGAAAAGGACCTTCTTGCTCCATCAAGTTCTCAAAATATATATTTCCCTTTCAAAATTGGTCAGCAGACAAAAAACTCGAAACAAACAAAGAGGTTTATTGACAAGAATGTTTCTATACCGGTACCAAAAGTTATTAAAATGAACATGTCGGAGTTGCAATTCAAAACATTGATATTTATTTGTGTGTTTCACTAAAAATTATTTGTTACAGGGGAGGAAAGGGAGTAGACAGACTCCTTTGCAGCAACGGGACTAAAACAAATAATTTTTAAAATTATTTACAACGTTGTTTTATTTGAGAACTTTCTTACCACTAAACGGCAACGGGCTCCATCAGGTCGCACTACACATCCTTTGGGTCCACATAATACAACACAAGATGGAAAGGGAGCCTGCAAAAATTTTATAAACATGAATATTTTCAAAAATTTAAATTAATTTCTCAATTAAGCTGGACATTCATTAAGTTATTTTTAAAATTGAACTGGAGTTTCACACATAAAATATTTTTTGTTAGGAGTATATTCGAGTGTTTTATTGTTTGTGCGACATCCCAAATAGTATTTGCATCATGCAATTATATTTTCTCTCTTTGTTTATAAAATTTTCTGTTATTTCCACTCAGTTTTATAATCAAACATATCTCTTAATAGAATATGTAAAATGGATAGTGTGACAATAAAAATTGAAGCTCCACATGACTGATTTTAGAAAAATAGATAAGCAGGCTAATTATTACTATGTCTATAGATAGAGAATTCTTCCTGGATTGAAATTAGATGAAAAACATGGTGAAGGAAGATGAGTTTCTTTTATCATCAATAAAAGAAACTCGTCTTCCTTCACCTTGTTTTTCGTCTAATTACTATGTCTGTTTAAAATGTAGTTTGAAATTTTAAGGTGTAACAATTATATTGTTCTCATTTATTATTGAAAAATTATATTTTTGAAAATATATTTAGAAATAAATGGAGACTCTTTTTAATTTCTATGACGCGATGGACTCTCAATCAAACTTCAATATCCTATTTTGTATTACATGATGGTCAAACTGGCATTTTGAATTGTATCTACACTTAGGAGCTTTTACACTATAATTATGTTGCATAGGTAAATAATCTATTATATATTGAACAATGAACTATAAATATAAAATATTAAATATCTGATATTATTGTGTATTTATTTTATTTTATTTGACATATTGGACGCAATATCCCAGCTTGGGCTACTTTTGCCTCAATACATTTTAGCAGCTTATATACAAATCACTTTATATTCAATTCAATAAACAAGAGAGACTAAAAACAAAATTGAAACAGAAAAGAAAATATAAATTGAAATCACAAAAATTATTGAATTTTACATGGAAGTCTTTGTTATATACAAATTCTCACCTTTCTTCGATGTGATACAAATCATTACTTCTGTAGCTGTGTAAGATTGGACATTCTATCAATAAAGGTATTGGGTTTTGATATATTATTGTGTATTTATTCTAATATTGTGTCACACACAACATATTTATAATATTAAGATTATAATCTACAATGAGGTATAAACTCTGTTATATACTTACTATTATATCATAATTAAATCGAGTCTTGCAAATTTCCCAATCGTTCATTACATTTTCAATCTTAGTGGTGTTAGCACATGGTGGACCTGTTTTTACACATTCATTTCTGTTAAAATACATACAAAATATAGGTTTTGCATTTATATGAAGCTTTGTTACATTCATATGATAAAATATAGAGCATTTTACCTATAATTTTTTATAATATAATTCACAAATTGGATTTATAGTGATGGATATATATGTAATATTGTTGCAAATGTCGATGTATGGATGAACTGGCAGTCGTGTACGTGAGGCGAGTGTTGGTGATCTTCCCACACGCTGACAGCAAGAAGCAGGGCTTGATGTTAACACCGAGGGTGATCGGGGACAGCCCACCGGACAGAGGTAGAGGCCATGACACAAACTTGGATGCTTATTACCGAGACATGGAGAGAGCGAGTGTGTGAGAGAGATAGCCTGAAGCGGACTGCCGAGAAATACCCCCTAGAACATCTGCCGACCCCCTGCCAAAACTTGTCCTGTTTACAGGGGGGTCTCTATAAGAATGTCCCTCGGGACCCCACATGGGCTGGGCGTTGCCTTTTTCCACTCCTCTGTCCCTGCTGCCACCAGCTGACCGCTCTATCTTTGGATCTTTATTTTGGCGTCACCAATTTTAGTTTATATACAAAAAGGGTGTACAGGTTATATTAATAAAGATATAGCATATATACAAAATATGGGGGTGGTAGCAAATATAAACGGTGCACATTTTAAAAGATGGGTAGGATATTTCAAGGCATCGGCTCCAACCAATTGGGAGATATGTGACATATACTAAAAGTGACATTATTATACAGTTTTAAAAAATATACGATACTAGCGGACCCGGCCACGCCTTGCTGTGGCTAAATTGTAATATGTTAAATTAACATTATACTAAACTATTCAGTACAGTAAAGTCAATATTCACTTATAAAGATAAAATATATATGTATTGTATATTGTATATGTTATTATATGTATTGTTTTTTGTTTTCGAGATATTCTAATAGAACGTTCTGACATTTTCTGTAAAATATTTATATATGCACAAACACAGAATATAATCACTACGTCTTAATTGCGCTATATTTATTGCTATAAATATTATTCTAAAATAATTCGCCAGAAATCGTCCTGATAGTATACTACACAGCGAACCCGGCCACGCGTTGCAGTGGCTAAATTGTAATATGTTGAATTAACATTATACTAAACTATTCAGTACAGTAAAGTTAATATTCACTAATAAAGAATTAAATGTTTTAGCCGATCTAAAGCCCAACGGGATTGAGAATGGAACGTTACGTTAATATTTGAAAGTGATTTATATATATATAGACAATATAGCCCTTCATTGTAATCATTGATTATAATCACTGCATTAATAAATGTCAGTCTTCCCAGTATTATTTTACCTATGTATGGATATTTTGGTTTGAATTAGTGAACTACTGCGAATTTGTAGACGAATGACCCGGGCAACGCCCGGGTTTACACGATTAAATGTATATTACATATGGAAGATGGACGTAGTTCCCGGAGGGCACCCGCGAGGTCACTCTGCCCCCGCGCAACTGTCCAACCGGGAGCGCCCCGCGCCGTCAAAATCGTAACGCGTTCTAGAGGGCGCTGCTCGGCCGTCGGCCGGGAGATCTCATTTACTCGGCGGGGGGAGGCAGGGAGGTCACGTGCTGCGGCGGCAGCCAATCGTCGCGCGCCGCCATCCCCCGTCTGCCGCGAGAGGGGTGCAGATTGCGAGTGAATTTACGTTTTATTGTAAATAAAAATGCAACGAAAGGTTATTTCTAAAGAGTAATTAGCCATAAACCATCCCGGTAGTATACTAAACATCTTCCCAAAGTTTCATCACGATTGGTTGAGCGATGTAGAAGATTATCACTGACAAACGGACGGACGGACGGACCAACAAACATCCATTTTTATATATATAGATATACATTTAAAATTATTATGAATGATATATAGATATTACAAGAAAAGGAATAGCTGACAAGTTTCCTTTATTTGTGCTGTATAATTGGCAAGCTTTCGGACTATGACGTCCTTTAACAGGCAACTTTTGAAAGTTGAAAGAAAGGTTGCCTGTTGAAGGACATTATAGTCTGAAGGCTTGCCGATAATACAGCACAAATAAAAGAAACTCGTCACCATGAACTTTTATTCCTTCTTCAAGATATATAGATATATATTTATATATAAATTTAGTATATTCTTGTTTACCGAAATGCTGTATAAATACAAGTATTAATTAAAAGGAAAGAGAAAATGCCTTTACAAGGTTTTTTTCTCCCCCTTGACAAATTTGGTAATTCAAATAATATTGTTGTAATACTAATAACTTGTTTAATTTTATATGCAAATTTGATTCATAATATATGCTGTTCAAGTTCCCTAGCAAACTACTAAAAATGAATAAATGTGATAAATTTGCTATATATTGCAATATATATTATTCACAATTATTGTGGTTTAAAATAAATGATAAATAAGTTTGATACATTTTTAAATATTTTGATATTGTCAGAGAAAATTGTGAAGGAATTGCTTTAGTTGTTCGAGTGATTAAAAGGAAATTTATTCGAATAACAATCTATTTATGATATTAAAAATGAATATTTTATTAATTCGAATAGTTTGATGTATTCTAAATAATATATTAAATACTCGAGTATTCTAGATTTATCTAAAAATCAAATGTTCAATTAGGAACCTTGAGATATTTTTTAGTTTTATGTTTTTATGATGAAAAGATGTTGCACAAAGCACCCTCTAAACAGAAAATCCCATTAGAGAGTTGTTACTTTCTAGAACATAAAGCAACTTTTAAGGATTTGAAGCATTGCACATTTTCTTGTCTCATGTAAATAATGATAATATTATTTAAAATTGTTGATTTGTGGCTACAAAATATTGTTATCAATCAGCGTGTATTATTTGAGAAGGAATTAAAAATAGATAATATATTTAATAGAATTAAAAAAAAAACACATTAATCAAAAATAATTTTGAATCATTTGTTAGATATATTTTTCAAAATTGGAAATACACCATACTAGAAAAACATCATAAATGTATATATAAGAAGTAACATATACCAACCTGATGTCAGAGTAAGACAGAAAGCTGCCACCAAGCCAAAGATAACAAAGCTAACAAGCTGGGAGAACACGTCACTACACATGCGTGGGCGTCATCCGCTGGCCACTGGCGTCATAACAACAAGGCCTGCTCCCAACGGCCGTTACAACAACCGTTACTTCTTTTTTCTTTACATTTCTCTGGCTTTAAATAAATTAATTTTAATTTTATCAGCAGCCTTCCACAAGCCACACCAACACATCACGCAACCATCCCACAGACATAAGCACAAGGGGAAATTAGAAACCACATTCAACAACTACCTAGCTATCCTAACACTTAAGACTTGACAAAACCAGCAACAAAAAGGCCATTTTAACATTTTTTTTATTATAACTTTTACATATAATCAAAAAAAAAAATGTTATGACAAAAACTGGTGGGGGGGAAGGGAAAGGAAACAAATAGGGGATATAAATAATTCAATCAAACAAAAACAATCGACATGGTCCAAATCTATATATATAAAAATGAATGTTTGTATGTTTGTCTGTTGGTTGTTTGGTTTGTATGTCCGGTATACAAATTCGCAGTAGTTCACCAATTCAAACCAAAATTTCAATACATAGGTAAAAAATAACGAGGATGACGATAGGCTATTTTAAAAAATATATAAATCAATTATTAAAACTATATATTCAAATTATTCTAAATAGCTCACGAGCAGCGCCCTCTAGAACGCGGTGGATCTGATGGCGGGGCGCGCCCATTGGCCGCCTGCAGAGCCCGTGGCTTCCCTGTGCGCGCGCATGCGCCGGGAAGGCACTTGCTCGCCGGCAGCCGACGGGAGCAGTCACTTGCTCGCCGGGAGTCAACGGGCGCAGACATTTACTCGCTGGCAGCCAACGGGCACATGTTTAATGTGTTTGAATAATACATTTAATCATGTAAACCCAGGCGTTGCCCGGGTCATTCGTCTAGTAATTTATAAATAGGAAGTGTCTACATCAGCAGCAGGAAATGTGAGGCCATGAATGTACAAGTATAAAAAAAGGTCCTGGATGTAGAACGCTGCTGCTGCACTTAGAACTCACTATGGTTCTGGTCGTGAGTCGGCTTGTCCTCCTCCTCCTCATCAAGCTTCTCCTTCATCTTCTTCTCTCCCTCCTTGGTCAGCATGTAAGTCTCTTCTGCATGTTTGCGAGCTGCAGCCTCGTCGTCGGTCACCAGGATGTTGTCAAAGATGGAGCCGGACTTCACCTGCCAGAGGTCCAAGCCTACTGCGCAGATGTCCTTGTAGCGATAGAGGTTGGGGTCCGGGGTGTACTCCGGGTTGTCAATCTCTGGGAGGATCCAGGGTCCCTTGTAGTTGGGGTTGTCAATCTTGCGGGGCTTCCACTCTCCCTTGTAGGCAGGGTTGTTGATCTGGGGGGGCTCCCACTCTCCATCCATGTCATTGTCCCAGTCCTCAGGCTTCACGGCATCGGGGTCGGGGATGTACTCAGGCTGTTCCCAGTCCTGTCACTCTGTCAGCCCCACTGATACTGGTGGTGGTTGTACTGGTGCCTTTAACAGCTGGAGGTACATGTGGAATTGGTGTAATCCTTACACAAGGGGATAAGAAACTACAGTCTATAAACAGCTGGAGGAGCAGGACACAAAAGGATAAGAAACAACACAGTCTATAAACAGCTGGAGGAGCATGGACACAAAAGGATAAGAAACAACACTGTCTATAAACAGCTGGAGGCGCATCGAACAAAAGAATAAGAAACAACACAGTCTATAAACAGCTGGAGGAGCATGGACACAAAAGGATAAGAAACAACACAGTCTATAAACAGCTGGAGGAGCATCGAACAAAAGGATAAGAAACAACACAGTATATAAACAGCTGGAGGAGCATGGACACAAAAGGATAAGAACCAACAGTCTATAAACAGCTGGAGGAACATGGACAGAGGGAGATAAGAAACAACAGTCTATGAACAGCTGGAGGAGCATCGAACAAGGATAAGAAACTACACAGTCTATAAACAGCTGGAGGAGCATGGAACAAAAGGATAAGAAACTACACAGCTGGAGGAACAAGAGGATAAGAAACAACAGTCTATAAACAGCTGGAGGAACAAGAGGATAAGAAACAACACAGTCTATAAACAGCTGGGGGAGCATGGACACAAAAGGATAAGAAACTACACAGCTGGAGGAACAAGAGGATAAGAAACAACAGTCTATAAACAGCTGGAGGAACAAGAGGATAAGAAACAACACAGTCTATAAACAGCTGGAGGAGCATGGAACAAAAGGATAAGAAACTACACAGCTGGAGGAACAAGAGGATAAGAAACAAGTCTATAAACAGCTGGAGGAACAAGAGGATAAGAAACAACACAGTCTATAAACAGCTGGAGGAGCATGGACACAAAAGGATAAGAAACAACAGTCTATAAACAGCTGGAGGAACAAGAGGATAAGAAACAACAGTCTATAACCAGCTGGAGGAACATGGACACAAGAGGATAAGAAAACCACGTACCTCAGGCTTAGAGTCCTCAGGGTCATCAATCTTCTCACGGTCATCCCAGTCCTCAGGCTTCTTGGACTCTGGATCCTTGATCTTGCGGGGAGGCAGGAAGCTCCAGTCCTTCTCCAGTTCTCCACTCTCCACCTTCTCATTGTCAATCTTCACCACGTAGGTGTTGTCTGGCTTCACGATGAGGGTGTACAGGTGGGTGTACTCATCGTCCTGTCCCCCACATTGTCACACTCACTGTGTACTAGTAGTGACAGGACAATAATCACCTTGCAGCGGATGTCCTTGTTGATCAGCAGGTTCTTGCCCTTGTAGTTAAAGGTGATGTGGACCTTCTTAGTGCCGGGGCCGCAGATGTCAGGCCCTACAATACAACATTTAGGTTTGAGACAACAACCTCTTCTTTACACCCATTCTATTACAACATTTTATTCCTTAAATCTATCAAAACAATTTCCCAATACCCTTGATTCCCGACAGTCATGAACCGAGATCAAATCCTGTATTAACATTTTGTTCAATTGTTTTATTATTCATTGTTGCAAATACCATAAAGTAGGTTGCTCTCATACATTGAAGAGCTATACTCTTCTCTGGCAGACACCATCAACAAGCTTTACAAGCTTGATACCTTCTTCTCTTCTTTCTTATCTCCACTCAATCATATTAGGGTATCAAGCTTTGACAACCATCATGACAAGTAGAATGTGTCTGCCTTTGTCATTAAGACTGAGAGCACTACTGAGGCCACTGACTTAGCTACAAAAGAAACGGCCGCCTCTGACATGAGGAACAGACACCATGTACAGCTAACATGGAGTACAAACACTGCTCATCCTGTATCCCTGGAGACCTTACAGGGTACTATCAGCATGGCCAGCTGAGCCCAGTGAGCTTGTTACTGCTCCCCCTCCTTGATACCTTATTGTGATTGAGTGGAGATAAGAAAGAAGAAGAGGTTGCTCTTGTTGAGCGGTACCTAATAAAGTGAGCAAGAATCTCCCAATATAATGTTAAGACACAATTTGTATTATAGATTATAAACACATGGTAAAAAGATAATGGTAAAAGTCCTAATAAATAAATAGTGTGTGATGTTTCAGTAACAACAACGCTGTTACAGAAACATCACACACTATTTGGATTTTGTCTTATCTCATGTTTATAATCCCAATATAAAAAAATTTTCACAGTCATGAGATAAATTTGGCAAAATTGTCCAATATATATTGAGAAAATAACAAATTATTTAAAAAAAAAATATATATATATATATATATTATAATGATAATAGAACTTGATGCAATTCATAGCAACTTTTACCTCATCCGACCAAGGCAATTGTTACAACCGAGGCTGAAATATATGTATAGGGATACCTTTAATTTACAGAAAAAAAATTCCCATGGTGTGTTATTGCAAATCTTATTTAAAATATGGCTGAATTCTGATAAGATTCTGATTCTATCAGCACCAGAAAATTCTTAGGCCACAAGAGATAACAAAGACCACAGATAAGGCTTTTTGATGTTTGGCTTTCATTGTCAGGTCAATGCTCTTCCCAATTCTAGCTGGCAAACCACTGCTTCCATCAGACATGCAATACCATCTTATTGTGTGGGAGTTTCCAGTCTAATCTATCAAATCTTTCTGTCTGTAACACTAATTTCTTGTATCTTAACTGTCTACACATTTTTTTTTTTTTAACTAATTTCAAGTACATGTGGCCATGAAAATCATGGTGAGTAGTTAGTGACTGCTTTTACTGTAAGTACACCACATGTCTACATATGGTACAGGCAATGATAATCCTGGTGGGTAGTTAGCGATTGCTTTTACAGTAAGTATACCACATGTCTACACATGGTACAGGCCATGATAATCCTGGTGGGTAGTTAGCGACTGTCTTTTACTGTAAGTACACCACATGTCTACACATGGTACAGGCCATGATATTCCTGGTGGGTAGTTAGCGACTGCTTTTACTGTAAGTACACCACATAACCCGCCCAGAAGTCCTTCCTTACTTGGTGGGCGGGAGAAGCAGCACAAGTAAGGGACTGCCCTGTAATACGGTGTCGTGAACCGCTACGGTAACTGTGAAGTCCTACAGAGAACTGTGGCTGACTAACGGGGCAATGGCACCTCACTTTCCATGATGTGGACAAGGCACCACCATATGTCTACATGTGGTACAGGTCATGATAATCATGGTAGGTAGTTAACAAATGCTTTTACTGTAAGTACACCACTTATCTATACATGGTACAGGCCATGATAATCATGATGGGTAGTTAGTGACTGTGTCTACTACAAATACATGTCTACACATGGTACAGGCCATGATAATCATGATGGGTAGTTAGTGACTGTGTCTACTACAAATACATGTCTACACATGGTACAGGCCATGATAATCATGATGGGTAGTTAGTGACTGTGTCTACTACAAATACATGTCTACACATGGTACAGGCCATGATAATCATGATGGGTAGTTAGTGACTGTGTCTATTACAAATACATGTCTACACATGGTACAGGCCATGATAATCATGATGGGTAGTTAGTGACTGTGTCTACTACAAATACATGTCTACACATGGTACAGGCCATGATAATCATGATGGGTAGTTAGTGACTGTGTCTACTACAAATACATGTCTACACATGGTACAGGCCATGATAATCATGATGGGTAGTTAGTGACTGTGTCTACTACAAATACATGTCTACACATGGTACAGGCCATGATAATCATGATGGGTAGTTAGTGACTGTGTCTACTACAAATACATGTCTACACATGGTACAGGCCATGATAATCATGATGGGTAGTTAGTGACTGTGTCTATTACAAATACATGTCTACACATGGTA